GACACACAATGTTTTGTTTAGAAAAGAGTACCAGGTTTCTATTCATACAGAGTCTTATTAAGTAATTTATTAGTTCATTTTGTCCTTGGATAGAATAAACTGTTAATTTTAATAGAGTTATAATTCTATCCTTCAACTACAGATCCATATAAGAATTTATCCTGTAGTTCTGTCTTAATAAACTTCACTGGAACCCCTACAGATTCTCAGATTCCATTGATAAAAGTAACTACTACAAGGAAAAAATATGTGAAAGAGGATTGTTTTATTAATTAACATATGCAAAATTTCCTTTGGCTTCAGGGGAAAGGTTACATTAGTGTCACAGGCACATTAGACAGTTCACATTCACTTACATTCAATACCTAGAACTAAGGAGGTGATAATAAACAAGCTGTTTTAGAAGTAGTTTCCTACTGAATATATGAATGCTCCCTACGCAAATCCTTGGTCAAAAGCAATGAAAGAGTCAGCTGATAAAGAGCTCAATCTTGGGAGCTAAACTTAAAGAAATCCAGAATAAGGCAAAGTTCATACTCAAGAAGCATGCCACAGAAAAAAAAATTAAACATGCAGAACAAGAAGAAACATCATAGAAAAAGATGAAAGAGCTCATCAACATTGCCCAACTGCTTAGGTAAGGTATATCAAACAACATGAAAGGAGTACGCCCCACTGGAATGCTGCTATACATTTACTGAATAAAGGCATTAACACATGCAAACATCACTAACTCACAATAAAACAAGCAATAGAAAAATTACCTAAAGAAAAATATGAGTTGGAACATAAAATTATAAATACAAATAAGTACAGCTATTTTCATACTGGATCTGAAATACTGGAGGGGTATAAATGATAGAAATATCAGCTGCACACACTAAACAAATGAAGTCTCTTTTGTACAGAAGTACATAATAGAATGTATTGCTGGGGATAGAGGGCTGGCTTATACAAGTAAGTTCTGTTGTTCATATTTAAGAACACACAATACTTCAAAATAACATCTTCTGGTATTGTATCATGTAAGATATAATCAATGTTTATTTTCAAATGCTCTTTAGAGAATTTTCTTTTACCTCTTATTCCTTGAGATTTGTGTTTATGTCTACGTATTTTAAATTGTCCATACTCTCAAACGTAGCAATTAGAACACATTTTCATTTCAAGACACAGAACAAGATCCAAACAACTAATGAGCTCATGTATGGATGTAACAATCTGTCATCCTACAGAGGAGGATTAAGAGGTCATGTTATAATAGCAGTTTTGTTTCTCTCATATGGAGTAGTTAACACTAAAAATTATGCTTTCAATTTCACAAAAGTAGTAAACAAAAAAATACAGACAAATTTCCTGTTTGATAAGGGTATGTTTTCACTGCTGAAAATCAGGAAAAAACTAAGTTAACACAAATAAAAAAGAATTACATGGGCATATTTATTTTATTTCTGATAAAATACATTTTCTTTACCCTGAAAAAGGCATTAAAATTTTATGTGTACATCTGTATCAAAAGTGAAAGAGTTTGGCTTATATGCTGTCTATAAGGTAGTTAAAGAGGAAACCTTTACTCATTAGCTTTCTACTTACAACACTCGGCTGTAGAAAAGCCATGTTTATTTGCCTTTCACACCTGGGAAGACTTGAATGCTTATCATCTCTTTCCCAGGAGATTGCTTGAATTACCATACTACAGCTATCAGGGTGCTTCCACAGAAAGCTCTTCTGTGAAGCTTTCTCTCGTTAAACAAAATGACATGATATTAATTGGAGCAGGGATTGAGACCTAAGTGAATTCCTTGACAACAAGCCTACAGCCACATATACAGCCTTTTAGTTCCAAGCTTTCCCCACCCTACCAGCTTCCTCCCCTCATGTCTACCAGTTTGGCCCTCCAGATCATTAAGAACAAATCTGGTGGGAATTTGAGTATATATGAAATTAACTTTATTTCCCCCCTCCCAAAATTAACTTTATTTTCCCCCTCCCTCGCAAATTACTTTAAAACATGAAATGTGTTTGCAACTAAAAATATACTTTCCATGTCACTCTTGCGAAGAAATACCACATTATTCTGAGAGAATGGAAAGGATCAAGTCACATACATTGTGTTTGATACTAGGAGGGTAGGTGGCAGAAGTTTTCATCGCTCTTTATCAAGAAAAGTTTAAAGATCTTGGTGACCTAGGACCATAAACTTTAAATTAAATATCAGACTGTTCCCTTAAAAGAAAAAAATCAGTTTGCCAGGAAAATCTGAACATTATGCATTATAATTGCAGGAAAAATGTTTCAAACTCTCACAGCAAAGAACAGGCCTAAATTACCTATCTCCTTCTTATTCAAATTTTCCATTAACTGAAGTGGAACTCCTTGGCAGAATGCAAACAGCAAATATTCAAAGGAAATCTTTCTTTCTGCCATAAGAATAAGATCTGAGCAGAAATTCAGTGGTGAGGGGATTCCTATTAGGACATTTGAAAAGTCTGTCCACATCGTATGCATATTCCAAGTGAAGGTACTGAATTAAAATTACATTTATTATTGCACCAAGTTATATTTCCTGATAGAGGTCAAGATCAAAGACCTAACAAATTCTTGGGACTCCAAGCAACAGCTAATTCTGATCAGAGCAACTATAAACATGATAGTGGTTAAAAACAAACAAGCAAACAAAAATCAGTCAACTGCCAAACAACATCAAATTTCCCCTGAAAATACGTCAACAGATGTTAAAAATTATATTTAATCTGCATTCATTTCAGAAACAAAACCTTTTTTTTTTTATAATGGAAAAATAGAACAATAGCAAGAAAAGAGGTGAATACTCTCTGCCATTATTTCAATGGTGAGAAAACAGCCATCCTTGAAACGCTTCTAATGGTATTTGATCTCCCAAACATAGCGATGTACCTTGATAACAGCACCTTACTGTATCACGCCTGAGAACACGAGAACATGTCTACGGAAAGCAATGGTGAAATTTTTAGGCTATCATGTTGATCAAAACATGGGTCCCAATTAAACCAGTGTCAACTACCCATCATTTTGTAAATACCCTGGATTTTATGTGTATGGTGCAAAAAGACCTCAGCCTCTTGCTGACTGCATTATCTCCAGCAGTTTTCAGAAACAGTATTAAAAAGACTTCAAATTCCAAGGTTTAATAAACAAAATTCTTGATTCTGTCATTACTAGCTTGGTCCCGATACTGGTGTCTTTCATATAATCTATACAAGAGCAGTTAACTTCCATGGAAATAATTTTGTATGTATCACCTACTTTTCACAAAAACTATTTTTCAAATGCTGTAATTATAAACCACAACATAAAAATTACACCAAAATTCTGTGATCAACCAAAGTGCTTACTAAAGGGATTTTTCTCAACTGCAGAGTAATATTTTTGCTACTATTTCTCTGCATTGTGATTTGCCATATATATTAAGTGATAACATGTATTATTAATATAATTACTTAATGTATAATTAAGTAAGAAGACCTAAAAGTGAAACAGTGATGAAACTGAGGCAAGATTTCAGTTCAAACGTGTTGGCTTATAATTCCCTCACACTAGAGATACGATCAAAATTTTTTGCAATCAATGGAAAGGCAATTGAAACTTTCACAATGTCAGGGGTTAGACTAAAAGTTTCACTTCATTTCTTATCACTTAGATAAAAACACTATTTTATGTATAAAAATATAATAGGCACCATAAAAACAGGCATCACCAACTGACTGAAAAAATAGAAACTATTTATAATGAAAATGAACAATTACTTCAGGCATTTATCACTTCCATGTGGTGCTCTTCCATTCATCTAATAGATTTTAAAAACAGAACATACCAATATGATCATTTATTTTGATAGTCTATGAAATGCACTAATTTCCTCATCAAGCCTATGACTTCTGGCAAACTATATCATATCTGCCGTAGCTTTTCATTATGAAATTTTATCACCAAAGGAATCTATCACTGAAAGCTTTAATTTTAATGAAATTTTTACTGAGTACATCAAATTTCATTTGTTATTAAATCGTTTTCACTAGTTTTCTGTTTGTTGTCAGCCAAAATCTAGGAGTTTTAATGATGAACCCCTAAAAGTATGTAACTCTAAAAGCAATGCATGCATTAACCGTGATGTAGTTCATATCTCTAAATCGACAACCAATAATGGGATAGTTTATTCTATTAATAATACCAGGATTAGCATGCACTCTGGGCATACCATGCCTGGAATCATTTAAGTATGAATGTGGTAAACAAAGATCAATATCATAAATGTCCAACAAGATGATAAAAAACAGCAGATGTTGTATAGAACTCACTGTAGATACAATGCTGAATATGAACTATGCTAATGGAAGTGCTACCTTGTACGAAGGCAACATGTATCTTGATACTTTCGGTGAACATTTCTGCACTAATTAGAGGTTTGAATAAGGAATCTGTGACCTAGAGCACTGAGTATCGTGAAAAGGAAAGTTTTATTCAGATGGTAAAATGTCACCCTTTGCCATTTGTTCTTTTTTTATAAAGAATCAACATTCTCACCGTAAGACCAATTTGTTCAACAAGTTATTACATTCACGTTCTTTGTAAGTTTCTTTAGCTGCTTTCACAGCAGTCTCAGAAATTCAGATACATTTTCATGCACACTTGAGATTTCAACCAAAATGACATTTTCTGTTTTTCAACAATCAAAAAGGACCTCAAACTTTGCACTGAATAACTTTCCCCCCACTCCCTCAGATGGTACTTCAGAAGGCAAGTGTAATTCAGATTCAGTACATATATATACTTCAAACCTATGACTATTTACTATCAAAGACAAGTTCAAGCACTAGAGTTCTCATGAGAGGGGAACTTCAAAGATCAAATTGTATCTTCAAACAACCACATTTTTCCTCTATGGCTCCAGCCTTCTAAAATCTGAGAGTCCTGCTGTTGAAACACCCTCCCATAGACCTGAAGAAGGATAAGTGACCTACCTTAGAAAGTCCGCCTACTTCCAAATAGAAGCAGATAATGAAAACATTCCAGGTGACCCACAGGGCAGTCCACACCGTGTACTAAACACAAAGCCGGATGAAAGCAAAAAGACAGAAAAATAAAATGTGAAGATGAAAGGACTTTATACTGAGCAGATCAATAATAAAAAACCTGATATCAATAAGCATTGTTCTTCTGGGAACAGCCAAGACAGAGAGTTCAGAAAAGGAGTTCTCCCTGCAGAAGTCCCCTGAGAACCATAGGAAATTACAAATCCAATATTCATTGCTGCTCTAAATAAATACCAATAAAACAGATTTATTCTTTACAGTTTTATACTATCCTACTGATACCAATTAAGTTCAAAATGCTGTTTTGGGGGCAACTGTGAGTCATTTGCAAATCATGATTTAGCTCTGTTAAAGGAGATTCCAGAATAATAAAGTAATTTAAAGAGGCAAATATGATTAAAATAATTTTTAAGTATTATGAAGAAATACACAAGAAAAAAGAACACCAAATAAAACAGATCTATTGATCTGATAATTTACATTAAAAAAGAAAAATCAAATGAGTAAAGGGTAAATCTGATCTCTTAAGAATCATAGGATTATAGAATCATAGTATGGTCAGGGTTGGAAAAGACCTTAAGATCATCTAATTCCAACCACCCTGTCATGAGCAGGGACACCTCACACTAGACCAGGTTGCTCAATGCCCCGTCCAGCTTGGCCTTGAACACTGCCAGGGGTGAAACATTTACAACTTCTTTCGACAGTCTGTTCCAGTGCCTCGCCACCCTAACAGTAAAGAATTCATTCCTTATATCCAACCTAAATCTCCCTGTTTCAGTTTGAACCCCTTGTCCTATCGCTACAGTCCGTGATGAAGAGTCCCTCTCCAGCATCCTTGTAGGCCCCCTTCAGATACTGGAAGACTGCTATGAGGTCTCCACGCAGCCTTCTCTTCTCCAGGCTGAACAGCCCAATTTTCTTAGCCTGTCTTTGTACCAGAGGTATGGGAGGAGTCTTTCAATAAAAGGTATTTTAACTGCATTTTAAAATAACTCACTACTCCAGCCCTTGTGGCCATGAACCCTACCCTACAATGCATCCTTAACAGATGAATGTATCGATATCTTTTCTTGTTTCTCTACCCGGCTAGGGCAAGACTGAACTCATACTACATCCACAGTGTGAATGGGAGGTTAATTTGTCTACTGTAAATCATCTTTTGCATTTTAATTGTCAGCATAATTGACCAACACTATTTCCTTACAGGTGCACTGTTTACCTAGATACAGCTGTAAACTACACCCAATTAACACTTCAAGCAGTACACCTCAGAAGCATTTCTGTCTCATGGGCTAAGCACACCCTCAGCCACACTGGAGCTACACCCCCCAGAAAAATGCAATGAGCAGCAGCACTGCTGCTTTACATTCATGTGCTTACAACCTTCACAGTGGGGAACTGCTGCTAAGCATCTTTGCAAGTCTACTTAGCTGTGACCAGATGAGGCTAATATGCTGTTGTTTTGCCTCAATACAATCAGTAAAGCTCAACACCCTTTCTATAATATGCTGGATCCCATTTCCATCACATGGGTGCCGCCAGCTTGGCTTTCTTGGGCAGTGTTGGGTTATGTTGCCCTCTTCCTTCCCCTCCCTGTGATGTATAATGTAAGGTTCAGGTGAAGAGGCTTGACTTTTTCCCCACTTTGACTACCCCCACATGCATACAGTCATTTCTGTACACCGAACAGGTTAACTGCTTTAATTTAATTTCTTACGAGGTACTTAGGCAGTTTAGGTATGGCTATGGCATAAGAAGTAGGTCATTAATAAACAAAATGAGAGTAATGCTCCTGGGCCATTTTCTCTGGCTTACAAAGAAGGGCACTGTGGCAACTGAAGGCTGGATAATTATAAAATAGACAAAGCTGCCGTGGTCTGTGAGCAGCATAAGGTCTGTACTATTTATAAGATTAACTTAAAAGAGGATAACACACTTTACCACATTTGCTGACTTTGTAGTAACTCATCATAAGCTCCTGATTTTTCAACATACATCCTCAGAACATCAAGTGCAGAGCATTGAAAATTAATGGGCACTTAATACAAGCCCAGTTGCATGTAAAAAGCAGAATATTCAGGAGAATTTCCCTTTTTAAGAAAGAATTTTTTATCTGTCCATGAATGAAATCTGCCATCACAACAACAGGAAACCTACGTGATCTGCCAGGCAAAGCCAAATCTGTTAATGGCCTCATTCTGTCCCATGGTGACCAGTGACAACTCTGAACCATGCAGGCAAAAGCTGTCTGAATGTGCTTTGCCAGGCTGGTTTACACAGTCAGGATCTGTTTAGTTCCTTATCCACTGTGAGGATTACGGGAAGAGAATTACAGGTGCAAAGCACGTGTGCACCTTGAAATCCAGCTGCTGTGTATAAAAGGCTCTTCCTACACACTCACTGAACTACAGTAACATGAATTTAATCTCCCCTTTACTTGAAGTACATAATAATTACATATTCAGTAATTAGTACTATATCGTTTCTTTAAAGTAAGAAAGTTATTGTCAAAATTAGAAAATACATGATTTTGGATATGTAAGTAGCAGATTTTTTCTTTGTATAGTTTTATAGGTATTTAAGGAAGACTACATTAAAGAAAGGTTTTAAGACAGCAAAAGCAAGAAAAAAACCTAGGAAATGTCAGAATTCTGATTTAATTTTTCTGTCTTGTGGCTGTGCAATACAACACAAACATTAATTAAATCACCATAGGTATATTTCGTTTTATAAGACCTTACCTTCCTTAATACATTTTAATAACAGCTAACTCAATAATTCTCTTTGTTGCTCAGACCCTGTTCTAAGGACAGAATGTTAATTTCCTCATGAGTTTTTCTAAGATGCTCATTGCTGCAAACGTGTGAGAGCTGCACAAACATTAACTAATTTACTTCATGTTATAAAGGAATGATACAGCTCTCAGAATGCAAATGATGTTTTGATACATGCAGAGATTACATTCAGAAATATTCATACATTATAGGCATCCAACCTGAGATGCTTAAGAGTTCATTTTTCAGAGCACTTGGGGTTATAAAGCACTTTATAAGCTCAGTGTTCAGCTCCCTGTGGCTGAGCATTCAGCACTTCTGCAAATCAGACCACAAGGTCTCAAGACAAGAACCCAGAATGCAAGGGGAAAAAAGAACGTGAGAAGTTTGGTTTAAGTGACTCATTTTGTGTAAAAAAAGGTTTCAGTGATTGAGAGGAGAGAGAAAACTCAGCTACCTGGCACAGCCTTCACAACAAAAGCTATCTTTTATTCTTGCTGTCAAATGCCTTATTTTTCCCATGTCTTCTGTTTTCTGCAAATCAAGTTTCTATTCTATAGCTGCAACCACCAGAAAACCCTCAATGTCTCTCCTTTCTGTTGCAACTGGAAAATACTGGTATGCATCCATGCAGTTCAAAACTGCAAATATACAAAAGGATCACATAAAGATTGCACAGGAGGGCTTTAATAGCAGCTTTACTTCATTTGAGAGTTTCTCCCTGAAAAAATTGTAATACTTTCTGAACATTATGTGTATGTTTGTTCAATCCCCTCTCCCCAGCCAGCAATTCCTTCCCCAGCTGTACGGCCAGCCACATTCAATCACCTCCGGCTCATCTGGTCTCATGCTCGACATCACAACCCTCACTGTATCTGGCATGAAGAAGGAATTCACCACACACGTTGAACCAATAAGAAGGGTTTTTTCTTTGGGTTTTTTGTTTGTTTGTTGGTTTTGTTTGGCTTTTTTGTTTTGTTTTGTATTTTTTTTTGTTTGGTTTGGGTTGGGGTTTTTTTCCTAATTTTTTTCATTTTATATTCTATATGATGCACTACTTAAAAATTACTTAGACATTTTCATTTAATAGATCCCTAGGACACTGGTGATAACCTTTGGTGCTTTCTCCCCATGATGCACTGTATATATTCTGGCTTTTATTTTTTTGCACTAAGGATTGTGTACTATATGGTATAAGGAAGCATTTAGATGTTATTTGGAGTGAGTACACCTTAAACGTTACAGGTTAAATGTCTGTTAAATTACTGTGCAACCCAGTAGGTTCCTTTCAGATCCCCTTTTTAACGCCTCTGCCTCTCTACAGTAACGGCATTTCTACACTTCTTTTGACTCTACAGGTCATATTGAAACCGATGCAGAGATATCTTTCACATACCAGTGAAATACACCCATTTCTAGAGCTAAATCATTGCTATTATTGGACACAGTGTTACAAAAAGAAAGGGTTAAAGAAAAATGCAAAGGATGGTTTCTCAGACTGAAAGGTAAGAGAGAAAAGGGAAATTTCTAAGTGTGAGTATTACAGGATCATGGATATTAAAGGATCACGGGGTAAATTTAGCATTAATGAATAAACTACCTCAACTGAATATTTAATCTGAAGTGCAGCGCCTCCTCTGACAGTGTCTTGGCATTAGAAGAAATGAATGTTGGCTCAGGGATACTTCAAGGGAAAGGCAGCAACTGCTGCGTCATCAGATCATCCCCCTGTAATACCTGGCTGTGCCTCAGAGGCAACAGTACTTGCAGAGCTCTACTTAGTCATATTTGTGAAAGATGACAAGGAAACTGGTATAAATCAACATATATTGGACAGTAATGACTCAGGACTTATCAGGTAGGATATTCAAGGAGTAATTCTGGATGCCTAAATATTTCAAATTTTGAGTGTCTGCAGTAACATTTGCTTGAAAACTGTGTAAAGTATCCTGCATAGCTTTTCTTCTGCTTTTGTTTTTTATGCCTCTTGGCTTTTCAGGTGTACACATTGCCTATGTATCATATTATTAAATGGAATAAATTAAGGCAAGTAAAGCAGAGATTTCCAACTAATATTCCCCCCATTTAAGTGTATTATTTTCATCTCTCACTGTTCATTAATACATTTATGTTCAGCTTTGGGCCAGGTTTGTGCAATTTTAGCTATGTGACGCATAGTTCAGAAGGCTTTTGAAGACTCATATTAGAAGTAGAAGAGGGGTTACCCTCCAACTTTAACAAGTATCCTGTCAACATCTTTAATCAGTTTTAATAGCCTGAAAAATCTTGCTGGTGGTTGCAAGTCCTATTAAGAAAGGAAAAGCATGCACAGGGAAATGGATCACAGCAGAGCTCTGGAGCTGCATAACAGGTGTATTACAGCATAGTTAAAACTGACATTGAGATGGTTTTATTTCTTTGAAAATGTTTGGGTAAGTTTTAAATGAGCCAATATGGGACAATTAGGAATCAGCTATGCAATCTTATGTCCTCTGGGAACTTTGCACTGATTTAATTCATCCACAAAATATTCAAGTACTGAAAATAGCACATCCGCTTAGTGACAAGACAAATTGTTCACAAAAATTGATCTAATTAATGCAAAAAACTATTAGAAATAATTATTGGATTTAAACTCATTAGGACACTTGGAGTTAATGCTGTTTCTTCCTCTCTCCCTCTGTGTTTCCTAAGCTCTGAGGACTCAGAATTTTATCTATGAGCAAGTGAAATTCTGTGTTTATTTCAGAATCACTTCCTTATAGACCTGTATCTGAAGGATCGTAGGCAGAGAATATGAGCTACTGCCTTTACCTACTTGGAATGACAATTGTATTCAACAGAGATGCTTCATGACTCAGCCATTGCGTGACAGCTCTTAGATGGTAGGGCATTTTTTGGTAGAAAGCTCTCAGTCCAAATTTTATATCACTCAAACTATGAAGCAGAACTCGTTTGTTTATTCAGAATTTAATCTACAATGGCTATGCTTATGCTGCTTTAAAAGAAATGAATGCAGCTTATGTAGTCATTAAATGATGGTGATAAACTAGCTAGTCTGGGTTCAATGATAGTGGAAGAGTGAGAGCATGCAACTGCTTTTGTGTTTACCCAGCTGTTTTCACAACCCTCTCTGACCTCCTTGGCTCTGGCTATCTGGACGGAAAGCCTGCTTCATTGTGTCTGAAGAACCAGTCTCATGTTTGACTGCAGTATAGATGTACTTAAAATTGCCCTACATATAATGCATTTATTCACTTACTTTCCCATTTCTGCCCTATGTTAAATTTTTGATGAGAGAGAACATGAGCACAGAATGAAAGCTTTTTAACTTCTCTTGTCAGGGAAACCTTCAGGCACAGCTTTCTTTCTTTGCACAGAAGATAAAGATGTTCTTTTGAGGTCAGACCAAGGACCCTAGAGCTGGTCAGCTTAAGTCAAGATCCCTACCAGAGTATGATAGTATGTGGGCACTTTGGACCCACATGTGCTAAATTAATTTTGTGTAGACAGTTTACAGAAGTGAACTTTTGTATCTGATGTGCTTGTCTCTTTAGGTTTTTATATTCTGATGTGATCATCTGCACTAGTGAAACTGATTTCCAGGGAAGTCTTAAGGAAAAGTCAATGGATATTAAGCATACTTTTCTTGAAGTATTTGGTTACTTTTCCAGTTAAACTGGATTTAGATTACTCTAAACCAGAAGCTTCAGCAATCAGAGTATGTAAAAGCAGGACTCAACATATTTCTTTTGCCAAAGCCACAGTACCAAAATCTTACTCTAATGGGGGACACCAACCACTAGCATATTCAGTGAAGGCTTAGATGTGGCTAAATTTGAAATGTTCATTACATTGGAAAAGATATAGAAATAGTCAGCAACTGTTGTGTTTCATTTGAAAACCAAAGTGGAGCTTCCACCACTGAACAGAAGTGCTGAACCTGAGGGGACAGAGATTTTGTGGTGTTGCACTTCAGACATTCTGAAGAGCAACACCATTGATTCTGCTTGTCTATTGCAAAGAGAACAGCAATTTGTATTTCTTTTCTTCATTTATTCTTGGTCTAATTGACCCATCTGGGTATTCCATTCTTTAACAAAATAAAATTCCTATGTAATTTTACAGATGTTTACCCTCACTTACTTCCTATGCCTTATGTATAAAATGGAGAACATGAAGCAGAAAAGTGAGTCATCAATATATGGATGTATATACACTGCTGCCTAGTTCTCCAACCACAGGTAATAGATAAAAGTGCTATTATTTACATCAATCCATTTTCAATTATTTATAGTCTGCTTGTGAAGCTTAGCTAACTTAAGTATAAGGAACCTTGGCTTCACTTTTTGTTCACTTTTTGGTTTAAGACACGACAAAACAGGATTCCAGGCTTGACTAGAAAAGATGAAGCTTTTTAAGTATTTGTTTAATCGTTTTTCCCCAGTAGACATTTGTTTTACCTTTTCATGAGGGAAAAAAAATAACTTTCACATCTTAAAATCCATTACCAACAGTACAAATGAAATACTCCACATACAGACTCTGCCAAGTAAAGAGATAATATTCACCCATTCAGAAGAGACTGAGAGGGAAGAAACAGATATATTTATGTTGGCAGTTTCCTTCACAGCTTTGAAATTTTTTTTTTATTTTTGGTTATGTTGAGAATATGGGGAAAAGATCTGTGAAGCTTCAAGTTACAAGCACCAGAGACAATTTACAACAATTTCAGGTCAAGGCCATAAATACAGGTCTCAGAAAAGTTAAACATGAGAGGGAGAATTCTGTTAAACCCATGGGCCACAGGACCAAAGGAATTCCTACAATCCTTTTTTCTCCCTGTTTAAGAGGAACACATAGCTAAATATAACTTGACCATTAAATTTTTTTAATTTTTATTTTATTTTTAGTGGCAATTGATTCTGCTTGTTTATTGCAAAGAGAACAGCAATTTGTATTTCTTTTCGTCATTTATTCTTGGTCTAATTGACCCATCTGGGTATTCCATTCTTTAAAGAATCTTACTAGGGACTTGTATCATGGTCATGATTTTGGCAGCATTTTCTCTAGGTTGCCCACTCATGATATCTTCCAAAATCTCAGAAATGCCGCTCAGTAGTCCTAAATTTGCAAAATGATATGGAGCCCTCTGAAGTTTCTGCAGAAATACCACCTGGTGTTTTGAAACCAAGAAAATTCTGCTTTGTAATATAACAGGTTTTAAAACTAATTGGGGGGGAAAAAAAAAGGTAATAAATGAGACTTACCACGACTATATATCGAGGCCTAAACTGGATGGTTCCAAACAAACCCAAAATGACAACTATTATTTGTAGGAAATTGCCAAGGATAGGAGCCCATTGGAAACCAAGGAAGTCAAAGATCTGTCTCTCTAATGCTGCCAGCTGTAAGAAAACACATAAAGAGAACATCCACTTTTTAATTATGGGTGAGACAGAACACTTGACATTTTGTTATTTGCACCAGGATTCCCCAGAGAAAAGTACATCAGAATTCTGAAACTATGGTTCCTGGGTGTAGCTTTTTCAGTACACTGGTATCTGAAGATAGCTACTAATCAAGCTACTAGAAAATCATAGAGATCCTCTAATGAAAAAGCAATTGGAAAGAACTTTAAGAAAATATTTGCAGAATACTCATATAATACAAAAATACCTCTACAAATTCAGACAAGTTTTCTTTTATTCTTGTATGCTGGAAAATCTAAGTCTTGACAATACTTATTTAAATACAAAATTTGCCTTAAACAAAAGCTCACATAGGTTGAACAAAGCCGTGTGAACCTTGCTGTTGTTACTGAAGTACCACCATGCTCCCTCCCTTCCCCATGTCTGTGATTTCTTAGATTCAGTATCAACTAATTTGCTACCAATTTTTGAAACCCTAGTCTGTTGTTCTAAAGATACTAAATTCAACTTTATCAGCAGCATAGTTGAATTTTAAACTTGGCTCAGTATTTTTTCAGCTGTAGCAAGACATTTTTGAGCATTAAACAGAATCCTACCGAGAAACAACTGAGTTTCTGTGCTTGGCAGAATTTATTACACAGTTACTTGATTTTACTACATTGTTACGAACCCAAAATTTACTGAAATATGTACTTAAAATATTTATAACTGAGTCAGATGGAATAAGCATGGCCCTATAAATACCAACTGAAGTATTATCATATGTGGGTATTTCACATAAACCATTTCATTTTACATGTAATGGCCAGATTCAATCCTCACCTACAAGCAGGGCTAGGTGTTGCTCAGAGCAGAATCCATCTTTTCTGTACAAAAATTGTCCCTTACGCCAGTCATGAAATGGTTCTATGAATCACATTCTCTATGCAGTGGTTAATAAATATGATAAATCTAAACAATTACATGAACAATGACTGAGTCATCAGCTTGGTGCAGCTCCTCTGCAGTCAGGGAAGTTACACTGACTTCTATCAGATAAACATCTGGCACATTTATATAATGAAAAATTATCACGCAGCAATGTTAAAATGATATTATCGTATCTTAACAAAATTATCTCATCCTTTTCATGCTGTAGGTAAGGGAGATTCTCAGAGGTAACACAACTCCCATGTGAGTGAAGCTCATGTGGCATTAACTATCTCCTTGGTTTTGTCACACTCAGCTCTCTCTTAAGTTATTGTCCATCTGGATCAATCTGTTTTCTGCCCCAGATATGGAAAAGAACTAGAGAAGTTAATGAACAAATCCAGAAAATTACATATTTTACATGGACTTCAGATGGAGTTTCAGTACCTAATGGTGTGGTGATCACCTTCCTGGAAGTATTTGGGCATCCTAACTGGTACACAACAACAGTTACCACAATGTAATTCTTGTTATGTCCTTACCTTATAGTAGGCTCACAAGCATCACCATAATAGCCTAGCTGGGACTTCACCAAGGACACCTCAGAATGACTTGCTTTTTCTAACATGCTCCCTCAGGCAATTCAGGTGACCTCACATTTGGGAATACCTCTGCCTGTGGCTTCCCTAAACCACAGGATACATCATACATTACAGTACAAGGGTGCTCCAAATCCCATGTGTAAGATTGTGGAAAACTTAAAAAACTCCTTGGCACAGACAAAACTCACAGTTTATGGTATTAGCAGTGACACACCAACACTCCTGTCCCGTATCACGTAGAAATGCATTTATGACATCCTTGACCAGAGCCAGAGCCTTGGAGATCCTCTAGGGTCAGCAAGGCACCTATATATAATTCCCATACCACCATTTCTCAGGGACAGTGTGTCTTCCTGAAGCCCCTAACAAGTGAACAGAGGATGGAGTTGCCAGATCAGGTTAGAATCTGCTTATTAGCCACCCCTGCCCTTAAAGTCATTGAAACTCCCACGTAGCCTAGGCCCTTCACCAGCACCAATAAATGGAGTGGTCCTATAACACTCCCAGCACTGAAGGCAGCTGTCTTAGGTTTGCCTCCAGTAAAGTGCCCTTGGCTCTGAAACAGGGCAGCTGTGTGCAAACTACATACCTACCAACTCAAAATGGTCCTTGGGCATAGGTGAACTGTCTGGGAAGACCACTGGTCTTGGTTAACATGATGGAGGACTCTAACAGCTCACTAGCACCCACAGTGGCATGCCACCTCCTGGTTTCTTCCCCAGGAACATGAGAATTTGCTGATGTAGACAGCATAGGACTTGACTGGGGTGTCTACTGAGGAAAGTAATTTCACACATATGGTTCACTGCAAGAGATGGCTGACCTTAGACATTTTATGTAGTGTTGAAACACCTATATCTGTCAGAGATACAAAACCTGCAGCACAGATATGAATGAAGATGTTTAGTGTGTGTCCCTTCTTAAACTTGTCCTTCGGAGCAATTTGCAGAGCCATGTAGATCTGCACCTGCCCTAGGTTCAGCTACAGCAGTCATTTTTTCTCCTTCGTAGTAGCTGGTGCAGTGCTGTGTTTTTGACTTTCAGCCTGGGAACAACGCTGATAACACCGATGTTTTTAGTTGTTGCTCAGTAATGTTTACTCTGACCAAGGACTTTCTCAGTCTCATGCTCTGCCAGAGAGGAGGGGAAGCCAGGAGGAAGCAGAGACAGGACACCTGACCCAAACTGGCCAAAGGGGTATTCCATACCACAGCACGTCATGCCCAGTATAGAAACTGGGGGGAGTTACCCGGAAGGCCCAGATCGCTGCGCGGGTCGGGCTGGGTATCGGTCGGCGGGTGGTGAGCGGTTGGGTCCTTTTCCCTTGTTATTCCTCTTATCATTATTATTATTGGTGGTAGCAGTAGTGGTTTTATATTATACCTTAGTTACTGCACTGATCTTATCTCAACCTGTGGAAATTACATTCTTTTGATTCTCCTCCCCATCCCTTCGGGAGCAGGGGGAAGAAGAAGGGAGGGAGTGAGAGAGCAGCTGCGTGGTTCCACGTTACAGGCTGGGTTTAAACCATGACAACACCTTAAATGCCTGAAAGATGTAGTACTACAACGTCAACAAACACAGCTACTGCACGTTGCCATCAGACCCATGTTAGCAGGCTTGATACTCAGCTCATGCCTAAACTGGATCAGATACAAAGTTTGCCTTCATGTGTATCTCCTTGATATCTGCCTTGGTATCTCCGAGCACGTCTGGCAGGACTGGGCTCCTGCAAAACAGCGCAGTAGACACAAGTATATTCCCAAAGACGATTCTACAAATATGTATATGAATGGTAGACACACACATATAAAAAATAATGAGTCTTTTTATAAATTACTGTGATAAAGGCACCCACCACAAACAAAAAGAAATAAGGTTCAATTTCCTTTCCTGCTGTCTACTGAAGTATCAATTAGGATACTAAGGGGGAGAGCTTCTCCTTGAAGCTGTGTCACCAGCCAAAATAAAATAAAATTTATTTAGTGAGTCAAAAAGAGAGCACAAGTAGAAAAATGAGTCTACAGCCTGCTGCTTATCATGCTTATCTGGGATTGGGAGCTTCTTGTATTTCTTGCCTGCAAGGCTCTTTATTTTTATATACAGTGACAGCATGTAAACCGCAAAAGGAGTCTGGGAAGCAGGACGCCAAACATACAGCTCCATTCCTTCCCCACTAACAAGTGCTTTCACCATCAGGCTATGCAGTGAGACTTTTTTGTGAAGCTATAGTCTCATTTATTTTGTTCTTGTCGCCAACACAGAGTATTTGTCTCATCCCTAAAGCCCACAGAATACATTAGTGGGGGAAAAAGTTTAAAGAAAGGAAAGAGGTAGGAGGCACGTCTATCTTGCTCAAATCGCTACTCTTTTCTAAATTATAAAACCTTCTTGCAGACAGCACAGATAGAAGTTAAAAACATAATAATTCATGATAAGGCAGAGAAAACATACTAAGTTCTGTTTTCTTTACAGCGTGAGCAATATGCACTGAACAGAGAACGCATGTAAGTGCTGCTCTTATATCTAGTACTTCACACAACAGAGTCCCCAAGCAGAGGTGAAGGCCATAGACATTTTAGCTTCATGCAAATGAATAAAACCAGTCCCTAACCCAGTCTGTGATTCAGGTAATTCACTGCACAGAAATCATCAGAACAAAGGGAGGGAAACAGGTACCTGTGCACAATTACCAGCTGTTTTTACACTGTACTGTCTGCATTCGCAGAGATCCAAAATCTCAGTAGCCACAAGTGGCTACCATACTAACCTCTGCCACGTGGTGCAGTTGGAAAGGAGCAGACACTGTGACAGTGACGGTAGTTTCACTTGGAGTTACATGCATGTGAGTATTTTGAAATGTTTTCACCAAAACCATTTTGATAAAGAGGCTGTTTCTCATAATGACAAAATTTCCCACATGAATTTCTGCTTTCACCATCATTTTGAGACTCTTCTGAAAACAGTCAGAAAACCTGAACACTGAAGGCAAGGCAGAGGTTCCCAAAATTACCTGGCTCGACTTTTCCCGTTGCTACAAGGCAGATATCAACATGGTAGGTCAGAGGAGCTCGAGGATAGAGAAATGGGATATACTCGATGTGACTGAGGTCCTGTCATCTTTCGTAATACACACGTTTAGGAGGAGCTGTCACCTCCAGTAATGGTGATAACTAAGACAATAAAGTTGGGGAGTGTACATCATAAATTGTTTCTTAATACTGTTTTTTAATGATTAACACAGAAGTGGAATGAAGATCCAAACCTTTCTTGCAAATAAAAGAGAAGGGCTTTAGTTTTGGCAAATTCAACACTGGGGTCAGTTTTTAGTGAAACCTGTGTCCAGTTGTGTGAAAAATTTTCCTAAAAACTTATAAAAATCTATAAAAGTTGATAGGAAATAATGTTTTCTTATCATAGCATCACTTGGAAAAGGAGACATAGTATTACTTATTACTGCTGTCA